CAAACCTTCGTATCAAGTTTAGCAAACACAACAATGTCAGTGAAAGACTTAACCGACAGTTATGTACATATGTTGATTACCGTCTATCAGTATGTTACACACCGGCATGTCCACTTGTTTACTCGGCACTTAAGAATTAGCATTTCAAGTTTACTGTAACGCTTGTGTATTTTGCTTTCGTTACCAATCGTATCATTGATTAATATCGTATCATTGATTGAATGGTCATAGCAATTATAATACTGAGTGGTATTCCCTAGTCGCGTTCGTCACCTTCTTGATTGAAGCCGCAAAGTATGATTATTACAAGTCATTGTTGTAAATGGCCGCGAAATGGAAACCGAGGTTTTCATTAACTATAGTATTGACGATGATAATAATTATAGTTAAGATAAAAGTATTTTAACTATTCTAGATATTTTTATTGTTTTGGTTCTTAAATATAAATATTTAAACTTTCGAAAAATAAAAGATATATGCGTATGTTTTACGTTGAAAGTTTAAATATTTAATAAAGAGACCAAAACAATAAGTAGGATCAGGTGCGTTTTCGGGAATTAGTACTTTTACTTCTTTTATAACCAAGCTGTATTTTCTGATCGCGTGACATCACTTTCGCGGAATCAATCAAAGCGTGAGCATAATTAATTACAAATTAACCACGAGTCGTCATTATAATTCGTCGTAATTCGGATCGCGAAATGAAACCCTTTTTCAAACTTCAAGCCGTTTCAGTCGAAATTACGAAAGCGTCTCGCTTCCAAAGTGGCAAAATGAAAGATTGACTTCGATGGAATCTCGAGAGAAGTTTCCAGCGAAATCCTACGAATGTCGGCCTAATTAGAATGGACGATTTGCCCGCGTGAAGAGGAGAGACTTCCTCTCGTTGGTATCGCAATCATACTTCTACGATTTCGTCCGACGAAACCCAAGCAGGGATCGATTATAGAACGATCCTAATCAAACTACGTATCCCTCCTCTCCCGCCTGTCGCTGCCGCGACTGCTCTGTCGTTTCTATTTTAACAGGCTGACTAATCGCGCTTCTTCCTCTTGCCCAAGCTCGCTCAAGTCTTGTACTCCCTTACGGAATTTCTCGCACGTGTAAATCATTAGCGTTAATTTTCGCGCGTGTTTGCAGAGCATACGCAAATCCAATCGTTTATTCGGCACTTGGTCGAGTCGATTGTTTCCAGTTTTAAAGCAACTTTTCCAAATCAATTTTTGAGAGAAACTTTCGAGACAATTTTTTAGAGAAGATCTCGAATCACAATACGCATACCTCAAAGATGACTTAAAGACGTCCAAAATAGCGTTTAAAAAAGCAGAACGTCTTTTAGACGTTCTAAAGTCTGTGTTAATACCTCTGTGTTCATCACCTGGATATTTCATACGAGATACTCAGATTATTTAGAGTCACATTCGACTTTTTTTATTATATATTTGACATTTTTATATCTGCAATCGCAATTTACAATTTCCTTGAGAATTCCTTGAATAATCATTACTTGAAATTGTTTCCACGTCAAACATTCAGATCTATATTTAGAGTTAAATTTGAGTTTTCTACTTGAGTTATATGCAACGTTACATTTGTACGATTTGGCTGAACAACTCACACTCTAAATCCAAATCTGAGTATCTCATCTGAGGCAAGTTTCAAGTGACGACTATTAATATGAGCCTAAGGTCCGTATTAATAGTCGTTACTTGAGACTTGCCTCAAGTGAGACATTCAGATCTGAATTTCAAATTAGATGTGAGTTCTTGAGATGAATTACGAATATAACGTCACGAATATTGCATCGTTCAAATGGAAAACTCTGATATATCTTGAAATTCAGATACGGATATCTCACAGGGCAAATTTCAGACAAGGACTATCAATACAGGCCTGACTCTAAATTCAAATTTGAGTATCTCACCTGAGATGCGAGTTTCACGTAGTGGCTATTAATACAGGCCTAAGATATCTTTGAGACGTGCGTGTGTTAGCCTTTGTCCACAACTTTGCTTTAAGCCGTAAGAAATTGACCAACCATGGTTGATTTTTAGAAGAATAATCGGTTGGTCAATTTCTTACGGCTTACATCTTAAAGCAAGGTTGTGGACAAGGGCTTACGTGGGTAGAGATGATATCCTCGCACGGTTCCTCTGATTCTATGCAAATAAAGTACGACTTTCGTCGGGGTCTTAAATTGCTGCCCGCTGCCCTTGCGCTCGAGCGTCAACCTGTTTGCCGGCGGTATCTTCCACGTCCGCGTGACGGATGGAAGATACCGCGGCCGAGCAGCAAACCGGATGACGCCGGAGGAGCGTCATCAAGGGCAGCGAGCGGCAATTTGACACCCCGACGAAATGACGCTTCGCTTTCCATGCCTATTATATCCAATAAAATGTATCTGACCGACTCGCCGCTCCTCCGTAAGCTCGCAACGCTTGCGAATCACGGCTACGCCAACGGATTGTCGTTAGTGCCGGAGTGTGGGTGTTAGCGAGCAATTATCGTCAGCTTCTGGTACCCGTAAGCGCGACGCGACGTGTGTTTGCGCGCGTCTGTATGTACATAATACCGTATACATATCTCCTCTCTGTCTGCGCGCTACGAAAATTCAATAATTAATAACTCAGTGTCACGATTTATAACTTCATTCACTATCGACACAACGACGAGACATTTATGACGTAACGGTGTGTTGTCTAAACAAATAAATGTCTCGCGCGAAGAGTGATGATTTCATTGAAACTGCTATCTTTCATACTGTAGCGCGTCTCTCTTTAATTTACGAGCAGATCAAAAAGCTCCTAACGTCAGTTCTAGAGACTAACATCACACAAATCGCGTTCCACTGTCTCGTTTGCCTTGCCCTCTTAAAGTGAATCAATAAAGATGTTTCTGCTTGAATCGGCGAAAGGAGTATTCCATCGATAATCCGTGAATGTATGTTCACTGATTTCCAGTATAAACACTTCCACTCTATTGCTCTATCTTACATCTCACTGATTGTCACTAGTAGAAGTGAGATTTCGCTATAAAATCTGTACTACACAAATTTCGTTGTGCCAAGTCAAACTTTCTGCGTTTGTGGCGATGACATTGACGACTATTGGGGTGCAATGACACTGTTAGTGTTTACAAACTGCATCAACGACAGGAACAGTCGCTACTATTAACTGATCTTTTTCAGCGAGATTTTACTGATTGCAATGCTATGATTCTATCTTCTCCTCGAGGAAAGAGGACAAAAGGAAGAAATAGGAGAAGCCGCTTCTCTTTCCGACTCGATCATGACAAATCTGTTCGCAAGATGTCAGCTGCGGAAAAGCGCAGCACGTTTTTCGACCGTTCCGCGGCCAACATTTCGGTTTTTGTCGGATCTTTCGGAGTTCTCTGACTGTTAACAGCGGCTTAAGCATGTCGAGATATTTGACTGGCATTCGGCCGGCGGTGGGAGGAACGAACGACGAAGGGTTAAAGCGCGCATACCAGGAACGTCTCGTTCTTTGGGAAATCGATATTTCGCGGGGGCGGCCGCCGTTTACGCGGATGTCAAACGTGGATGCGATTCTACCTACATACTTTTATTGCGAGGGCGTGCTACGACAGCTGCCTACAAAGCGTTTTCGTCACAGGGAGCCGGATTACGTAATGTCCGCTCGAAGCCGAGTCTCGAGCGAGAAATTAGCCGCTACTTTATTTTTACGGCTTTTTTTCCGGTTTTTTCTTCCTCTTCTCTCAGTAATTCCCCCTTTTGTCGCGCATTGTGCGTTACGTTATACGCTCGTCAATCTCGTGATCACGATGTTTTTGCGGAATGACATTCTCACGGCAAATCTCGCGTGCCACCAGAGAGTCAAGTGGAGAGGAAAATTTTGACGCTAATTGTTTCCATGGAGAGAATTTTCGCTCGTTCGTTTTCTGACGAGAATTCGTCCCTCACTCGTGGCGATTTTACGCATTATTTTCTCCTTTTTTTTATATTAACATGTACTCTGATGACCGGCACTATAATAACCATCACGTCTCATCGAGATTTGCATTAACAGTCGTTACTTGGAACTTGTTCTACGTGAGTTCTACGTGTTGATACACGAGAGAAAGAGAGAGAGAGAGAGAGATTTTATGGTAAAAATTACTGCAGAATTTTCTAACCAATCATTCACCATACATTCACGGATTATCGATGGAATACTCCTTTCGCCGATTCAAGCAGAAACATCTTTATTGATTCACTTTAAGAGGGCAAGGCAAACGAGACAGTGGAACGCGATTTGTGTGATGTTAGTCTCTAGAGCTGACGTTAGGAGCTTTTTGATCTGCTCGTAAATTAAAAAGAGACGCGCTACAGTATGAAAGACTGATTATTGGTCAGATAATTGGAATAGATCGATATTTTGTAATAACAGACTATCCTTTCATTTCATATTTTTGCGTTATATTAAAAAATTTACTATATTTCTAGCGAGATTTGCTATGTTCCTTGGCGAAATAGACCTTACTGACAGTCTGTGTGTCCACAGTTTGCATTATTAGAAACAGAATTAAAAAGGAATTTGTATAAAAAGAAACTATTATATATTATACAGAGTTAAGTGTCATGAGTGTTTTAGTCGATCCGCAATTACAAATATAACGCTACGTATATCGTATATGATGTAATTAAAGAGCTCAGATCTAAGTCTAAATCTCACGTGAAACAAGTTTTAAGTTTGTTAATTTGGATCAAACTTACGTACAAAGTGTAATTGAACGCATCTAAGAAATTAATTACACGGCTAATAAAGAGAGTCAATGAGAAGCTAGGTGAAGAATACGTGTGTTTTGAGTTACATTTCTTCGTCATATCTTCGTCGTCAATCGTCAATCAAGTTTTTTGTGATCACAACGTGTAAAATTACTAAAGCGACTACGGAACTTGAGGTTCGATTGTCGCGACTCCTTCACGATGAAATGCTGTGTACGAAAATCTGATGGCACGCTTCCGATCGAATCGTTCACAGTTCATGAAACTGGCCAAGTCGATGCTGGGTGAGACGCTGTTCTCGAAACTCATGAAGGCGACATTTTACGGCCACTTCGTTGCCGGCGAAGACGAAGTGCAGATCACGCCTGTTCTGGACAGACTACGGCAGTTTGGCGTCAAGCCGATCCTCGACTATTCCGTCGAAGAGGACATCTCGCAGGAGGAAGCCGAGCGGCGCGAGCTCCAGTGAGTGCACCACCTTGTTCCGTTTCGTTTCGTTTTTCCGCCGTGTTACATTATTACTACCACGCTATCGTGCGCGTACCCTCGATTTCTCGCGCGCGACATCCTTGCAGAAGTAGCGCAAGAGCGCATTGTTCCGCGACTCGAATCCCTTCGCCAAGTGTGGAATTTAATCCTGCGTATCGCTTTACTGAATCTCACGACCGACGACGATGACGACGTCGGCGACGGCACCGCGCTAATATTATCGGAGAACGCGGCGGTTCTCCATTTACGTTCTCTCCTCTGTTTTACGCGCGATCAACGGGAGCTTCTTGCTCTTCTACCTGAGAGCGCGTGAAGACCGGCTTCACGATCGCGGAAAGTTACAGCGCGAAAGGAATCGGGAGGCGAACGCGGAGTCGTGACGATTAAGCAGGAGATAAAGAAGAAACAAGAAAATATCAAGCACAATACCACGAGACTTTCTTCTCTTTTCAGGGCCTCGGTGTCGGAGGCGGGCGACGAGAAGAGGGAGGGCCCGCTGAAGAAATACCACGTAGAAAAGTCGTTCGCCGACCGGCGGTACAAGGTGTCGTCGGCCAGGACGTATTTCTACCTGAATGAGGCGTCGTGCGAACGAAACATGGACATATTTATCAGATGTCTGGAGGCCGTCGCGGGTGAGTCGCGGCTCCCTCTTCGTCAGCTTCCTCTCCTAGCGGCCCCCCGTCCTTCACCCTCCTCCCTTCCTTCTCATCCACCCTCGTATACTATTCCGCGCATCGAGCCGCTCCGGCTATGTGTATCACGACGAGGCGTCAAACCATGAAAGATATCTTCCAACTTCCGAGCAGCGACGAACGGCTCTCGTCGCTCTTGGAATGATGTGTGCTCGTTGATGAACAATCAGACGCGAGCGTTAAATTAATTAACACGTTGGCTGGCCTGTTAATCGTCCATTAACTTCAATAGGCTCGACTGAAGCTTGACTCACCAAAGGTACGGTGAACAAGTTCAATTGACGATCATATGTCTCTGTCAACTCGTTTCATCGGCTCCCTACTATCGCCTGTATGTTTAATTTGTTACATGCAATTGGTTACGTTCCCTACGTGAATCAATGAGACCGACGCTGCAATATTACAGCGTCCGTCACTGATGATCGCCACATGGCAGTCAACGTGTTGATGCAGCGACAACAGTGCAGCCTTCGAAGCCCTGCAGATTAAAGCTCAATAGTGCAGGGCTTGACCTGGCTCAATTCATTATCAGATGCAACACGGCACGATCTGTATTCGCTATGACAAGGTCAGACCCGACTCGGATTAGTTTCTTATCAACAAAACATTTGATAATGAATCGGATCAGATTAAGTGCCGATGGAACTTTGATTCGCAAACGCAGCTCTGGCAGCCTTCGCGTTAGATTCGACATCTGTTCGACTAAATGTAACGTCGCGCCACTTTCCCGCGAATAACAGAGAGTTTTTGCAATACTATCTTTTGGATATGGTAAACGTTAAAGACTCGCATTCGCAATTCAAATAACGTACGACGTTATGTCTCAGTGAATAACGTTTCAAGATAAAAGCCAACGCACAAGTACATCCGTAACATGTTACGTTACGTTAAGTACTGATGCAATGGCCATACCTGTACGTAAAATGAAATTTAAGTCAAGGCACAAAGAAATCCGTAAACTTAACATGTTACGGATGTTCTTGAGGCTCTAATACATCGCACGTCTGAATAGCGTCAAGGTGAACGATGCGAGTGCGTAGTTTCGTCTCCAGACCTGATCACATGACTTTAACGTTTACCGTATTTGAAAGACAGTATTGCAAAAATCTCTATTAATCCTCCAATAGGCGCGTCAAAATTTGAAACTTAAACGGGCGCGTGGAGTGTAAATTATACCCCACATTTTATTAATAAATATTAAACCAATTAATATTTTTCATTTCCTATATCCATCGTTGCATGTTTCTTAAGCTATATTAACAAGTTGAAACTTTAATTTTAATATTTTCTGAATAATAATCAGTTTTATGTTGAAATGAGTTCAGAACACTCAATTTTTACAAGCTTCAATAACTTGAAAAATCTTATAGTTTATTATAGAAAATTTAACGTTGCATAGTGTAATTTGTAAGAGAAAGATTCAAGGAAATTGAATTCATGGATAGATTGCTAAAATTTTAATGTATTTGTTAATGTTAGTCATTAGAATATAATATATTTCAAACGATGGCTAGAGCATTATGACCGTCTTGAGAAGACAGCTTTAAAATAAATTTTCAACACAATTTCTTTGTAATATAATCAAAATATTTGATGTAATTTAATCAAAATGCAATAACAATATATACACGCATTTATTTTATATAAAATTTATAATATTAATATAACATAAAAATATTCGTTTAACCCATTAAAACCCATGGCTATCATAGCTATGATATCACAATATTTGATATTGGGAAAATGTCGTAGTCAAAAACAAAAATACCCGTATTTTTTCTTTTTTAATTTATATTCGTTTAAACAAATTTTTTTATAAACAAATTGTATAAAAAATGACGGTAATCGATTCTACTAAAAAAAAAAAAAATAAAAATTTTGTTCTTGAACATTTTTTCATCCAAGTCTTATTTTCATTGTAAAATGGTTATAAACGAATTAGAGTTGCTAAGGCGGCTTCAGACCATGCCTCCGTGAATAACGATAATGCGTAACTTGATATCAGAAAAGTATCGTAATTAAAAACAAAAATACCCGTATTTTTTCTTTTTTAATTTACAATGGTAGAAACAATTTTTTATAAACAAATTAAAACATCGAGATTTTGCAAAACAAATGACAGCAATCGATTCTACTAAAATGGCTTCCAGCCCGGAATCTCTTTTGTAACTCTAGTTTGTAGCCATTTTGCAATGAAAATAAGACTGATAAAAAAATTTACAAGAACAAAAGTTTGTTATTTTTTTTAGTAGATAATAGATTGCTGTTATTTGTTTTACAAAATCTCGATGTTTTATACAATTTGTTTATAAAAAATTATTTCTATTGTAAATTAAAAAAGAAAAAATACGAGTATTTTTGTTTTTGATTACGATACTTTTCTGATATCAAGTTACGCATTATCGTTATTCACGAAAGCATGGTCTGAAGCCGCCTTAGCAACTCTAATTCGTTTATAACCATTTTGCAATGAAAATAAGACTCGGATGAAAAAATGTTCAAGAACAAAAGTTTTATTCTTTTTTTTTTTTTAGTAGAATCGATTACCGTCATTTGTTTTGCAAAATCTCGATTTTTTATACAATTTGTTTATAAAAAATTTGTTTAAACGAATGTAAATGGAAAAAGAAAAAATACGGGTGCGAAAAAATGCGGAAAGTGTAAGAAATACGAACAGACCTAAAGTATAACGTGAGTGGGCGCGTGGGATGTAAATTACACTCCAGCCGACTTTAACAGCGTCGATAGACGATACTAATTAAAATTCATGAACGCTACTAATTTTAAAAGGTTAGAGTATTAAAGAAATGTATTGAGGATTATGGCACTGAAAAAAATTTATTTCTATGTAAAATCTAAGGAAAATGAAGTCTGAGATGTAAAAAACACCCCACGCGCTTGTTAACCGCGTCGAGCCGTGACTACGTCACGAGGTCGCAAGAGTTCGCGCGGCGCGAAATCGATCGCCGTCCTCGGATCTTCCTTTTCGTCAGAGCTCTTTTGTCGCTGCGAAGACGACATGGCGATCTGGCGCGCGGTTACACAGTGTCGAGCTGACATTAACGCGTCGTGGTCTCGTGGTGCGTCCTCGCGTCGGTCGACGATCACGAACGGCTTGACGACGATGGACCTTTCGAAATTCCGCGAGTCAGAGGCGCGCGTCGCGCTGTCCCACGGTCGGCTATAAATATCAGATACGCGCGAGCGCGGATCACCGTGCGCCCTCCAGCCAAATTATGTGACGTAACGCGTTGGGGACGAGTTTGGCGAACGAGGGACCAGCCGCGGCACGATCGGCGCGTTTTTCAGACAAGATTTCGGAGGAAGCCCCGATGTTGCTATCCTCCCTTCAGGAGAAACAAAGATAAAGAGCTACACGTGTGCACTTTTGCAGCTGACGAAGTTAAAACCCTACGGCTGAAATATCCTTTTCACGACGTCACGCGTAACGACCAAGTCGAACCCTATCCTGGTAAGAAGACAATGCTTCCTCTTTCTCCTTTTTACCTGTTTAAATCTCCTTTGTCCTGTACCATTCTTAATTCAGATGAAAAATACTTTTATCTCGGTTTACAAAATATTTACACGTTGACTATCATGCCGACTTCCACTGATTGTTCCAACACTCAACTCAAATCTGAATCGCCCAAGATGAAGGTGAATAAATTCAATTCACAATGCATTTGTTCGTTAGCTCGTTTCATTGCCTCTCTATTGATTGTACGCTTAATTTCTTATACGTGATTGGTTAGGTTTCGAACGTAAATCAATGAGTCATGGCAGCGCCGATACTGATCACCATCATGGCAGTCAACATGTTAAGTCGTACAACTCTCTTGCGCGTTGTTCTTTTGCATACTTTAACGCAAAGTGTATTTTTCCAGGTGCTTCGATGGGGATGGGCATCACGGCTGTCAAATTAACGGCGCTCGGCCGGCCGCAACTTCTGGTTAGTGAGATTATCTTTAACAACGGCCTCGATAGCGAGTAAACGATAAACGTACGAGGGACTTTTCTTCCGTGATAAAATTAATCGAAGCCTCTTCTTACGTTTCAGCTTCAATTGTCAGAAGTGATAATGCGCGCGCGGCAATATATGACAGAGGTGGTCGGTGGTGAAGGTGCCGTCCTGGCGCATCACGCAAAGCCCGACGATTTTATGAAGAAATTCGAGGAAGCGCACATCAAAGACGCAGCGCCCGTGCAGAAGTTTCTGCAGAAAATTCAGTCGGACAAAGAAGGGTATGAGAAAACGATATCGAGCCCACAGCTCTCTCTCTCTCTCTCTCTCTCCCTCTCTCTCTCTCTCTCTCTTTCTCTCTCTCTCTCTCTCTCTCTCTCTCTCTCAATCCACTCCCTTTCCTTTCTTCTCTCTCTCTTTCTTCACAGAGATGGTGTATAATTAACGTTGGATATTGTTTTTCGCAGCGTGATTCATTTGTTCCCATGGAGTGGTATCTTAGACGAAAATTATGAGCTGAGCGAGACTTTCCAAGTACCTGATATCAAGACGGGCAAAATGGTCAGGCTAATGTCGCAGCTCACGTCTAAAGAGGAGGAAATGTTCAGGAATATGATCAGACGTCTGAATAATATTGTCACGGTGCGTGCATTGTAAAACTGATGCTTACAAACGCACGAGGATCATATCCTCGAGCGATGATAACGTTATCTTAATTGGCGCATCCAATTTATTCCATTCTCCATCAGGTCGCCGACAAACTGGACGTTCGTATAATGATAGACGCGGAACAAACGTATTTCCAGCCGGCCATATCCCGCCTGACGCTGGAAATGATGCGCAAGTACAATACAAAAAAGGTAACGTTCTGATGGGGCCAAGGGGACCGCGGCTTTTATCACTCAGCCAATTTTCAGTGAATGATATTCTCACACTGCCAAATGGTCTACTTCTCAGGCCGTGGTGTTCAACACATACCAGACGTATCTACAAGAGGCGTATAACGAGGTGAAAACCGACCTCGAACAGGCGGAACGCCAAAACTTTTACTTCGGTGCTAAATTGGTTCGCGGTGCTTACATCGAGCAGGTCCGTACAGTAACAGTTTATCGTGTATTCTGTCGAGTTGTCTGTTTCTCGCAAACGACGTTTAGATTAGAATAACTGTGCGCGATTACGTCGTTAATGACGTAAACGAATCTGAATCGACAAGTTCTTTCGTCGCAGGAGAGAGCAAGGGCGGCTGCTATGGGCTACCCGGACCCTACGAACCCCACGTACGAGGCCACGACCGATTCGTATCACAAGACACTTATGGAGTGTTTGAGACGAATGAAGCAGTATAAGGATAAGGGGCAAGATCCCAAGAAAATAGGAATTATGGTCGCCTCGCACAATGAGGACACTGTACGCTTTGCGATCGAAAAGTACGTGGCCGCGAAGTTCTTGCTATTAATATTCCACGAATATCTGATATTTTCCTAAAAATATTTGAGTATGTATATGAAAATAATGTCTCCGCGTTTTCAGAATGAAAGAAATTGGAATTTCACCGGAGGATAAAGTCATATGTTTCGGCCAATTGTTGGGAATGTGCGACTACATAACATTTCCGTTAGGTAAGCAAACGGCGATCTGTTCTTGAGACACTTGTCTCGAGATCGCGACAATATGAAGTGTGATATATGATTCAATCGTTTCAGGTCAATCCGGTTATTCCGCGTACAAGTACATACCGTATGGGCCGGTTAAGGAAGTGTTGCCGTACTTGTCGCGGCGCGCGCAAGAGAATCGAGGTATACTGAAGAAGATTAAGAAGGAGAAACGCCTGCTACTGAGTGAAATCGCGAGACGCTTAGTGCGCGGCAAGATCTTTTACAAACCCAAGGGCAATTACACTCCGGTTTGAACAGTCGATTTCCTTAGTTTGCACAGACAGAATTTTAAGTATCAAATTTAAGTAGTGGTTGTAAATTATTGAAAACTCTCCAAGACCTTGATGCGGGCACTTTGGATTGAACTCGAGTAAAAGTATAACTTGGACAGACCTGTTGTGATATTCGGAAGAGGGAACGAGAAAAAGAGAGAGAGAGAGAGAGAGAGAGAGAGAGAGAGAGAGAGAGAGAGAGAAGAGAGAGAGAGAGAGAGCGAACGAACGAACGAACGAGCGAGAGCGTCGCGTACGTACAAGTGTATGCGAGAGATTAAGGAATATACGCAGTGTTTTGTCCATTACGTAAAAGCCGTCTAGATGTTGCATCGTCGAATGTGTACGTCGATGCTCAATGCAACTGTGTTCGGCTGGTAGAAAACTATATTCGTTTCTCGTTTCGCCCGTTCGTCGTTTCATAAAGGGGCTGCCAGTGACTGTGCTACAATTAGTTTCACTCGCGCGAGAGCGTATCTTCACCGGTGAAGGTCGGAGTCGCGAGAATTGCGGTTTTCGGCTTTGTGCTCCGCTCACGACCGGCGAGTCTAAATTGTTAATTAACGATGATTTCACGCTTAATGACATAACCGAGCCACCGACATTTCCTTTTCGCGCACAATATTCGAGATTATCGATGGAAGACATGGCTGCAGCCTTTGCCGACGCGAAGCGCGACGCGCCGGAAAGGCAGAGGAAAACAGAGAGAGAGAGGGAAAAACAAGCGCTTGTCTCAGCGCAACGCTGCGTTTCCCTTCAACTCTACTGTTCTTTTTGGAGAATCTCGACGAAAATACTTTTCTCATTTGTATATAATATAGGCGCGCGCATTGATTATTTATGACTCGTGTTCACGTAATATCTCATCCATGATATCTGTAATAGCGAAGAAAAAAAAAGGAAAAACGGGGAAAGAGAGAAGGAATGTCACTCAGTCGCGTGCAGTTAACAGAATGTGCTAATTATCAGGATGTGACCGATATCGGTCAGTTGCATCGTGCGCGCGACACGGCATATGACGAGCTTCACCGGCTAGCCTCTGGTACGACGTGGACGTGGATAACGCGATGATCCGCGGGTTTAGGAAAAATAAAAGGATGAAAAGAAAAAACGAGACGAATATGCGTATCAAAGACGAAAAAATGGCTCTTAAGTGTGCGACGAGATACAGGGTGAAAATATTATGAGAATTAGATATCCTATAAAATGAAAGAGAGAGAAAGGGAGGAGGGGGAGGAGAGAATGCGAATTTGTTAAGTACTTGGTACAGTTGTTCTTCGTAGAGTGCACGCGTTAGTGTCGAGCAAAGTAATCTTAGGCTGATACGACGATAACGGGTGCGGCCGGCCGGCAGATCGAGTGTGCGAAATACACGATATTCTCTTTTGTGATAAGTTATGGCGGTAATTAAGTATGACACATGTGCAAGTATACACGCGCGATTAGTCTAATTTCGCTTCAGCCTGAAATTGCTTTTCGCGTTACGCGATGCGAGTCCTGCGGTGTCTATCGTTTTGTCGTAAGATAAGTACGCCCGCGGCACTGTGAAGGAACACGCGAATGCTGTATCGATAATACGTAATAATGACACGCGACTTCTGCACCCGGTTACCTTTTCATCTTTTTTCGCCGAGGAGTTAACGTAGATAAGGGAACGACCTGCAATTTAGAAAACGACGAATTCGTGCCGTGTCTCAGATTAGAGTTTTAAGTAATTAACGAATCCCTTTTTTATCTATTGCGAGAGAATTTAAATAGAGAGGTCTCGGCGATCGCGTATAATGGATGTAGGAAAATGAAAGAGAGAGAAAAATATATCGCCGACTCCTCGACACGGATAACTTAGCGTTCGCTTACTGTTGTTCGATAGTCAATCCGACACGTGGCTGTAATTCGTAACTCCGGAAATGGCGATTATCAGCGAAACAATCCAGCGTTTTATACTCGCGTTTAATTTAGCGCCTATGTTAGACACGAGCATTTCCGTTGCGGGGGGAGTTGCATAGAGCGCGCATTCTTGATATTCTTAGGCCAGTATTTCTTCTGATACTCACGATGCTCGACTTCTGTGCGCCACACACACATACACACATAAGTCGACGACTACACACTATTATTATCATGATTTTTCTCTTTCTTTCTTCCTTTTTTTTGTTAAGTGCATCAAACTCATAGAATCATATTCAATAAGCGCATCATTTCGTTTCTCGAGCGATGTGTACGCGAGTACAGTCATTTGTGATCTCCTATTTTTGCTATATGTTACGCGAGAGAGCGTTACGTTTCGGAGTGTGTATGTAGCCTATATACATTTATATATGATTGTACTCTAAGCGAGCGAAAGAGAGAGAAAGAGTGGAAATACGTTTGCGTGGTATATTTACTCGCTTCGTAGAGACACGTCGCATGTGCGTGACAGCGAGAAAGGGAAAGAGAGAAAGCGAGGAAGAAAATTTATAGCGTGGCTGAATCTCTTTGTGAATCGTATTATTAGACGCAAAAGCTGGAAAGAAGAACCGGAGAAATATGAACGATAAATGAATAAATAAAGGGGCATTGTTACAAGTTATACACGGGCTACTAACAGCTGAGTGTCCTCACGTGTCTATGTGGTGTGTCATGTACGATGAATGTGTGTGTGTGTGTGTGTGTGTGTGTGTGTGTGTGTGTGTGTGTGTATGCATGCGTACGCGTGTGTGGTTATATACTTAGACGTATACACCGTTAATAAATTCCGTTCAACTAGGCTTTGTTAGCCGCCTATAAACGCGCCTCTGTCGTCTCACGAAGGCGAACGCACCTCTCTACTTTCGAGAGTAGACATAAGACGCTGACAATAATTTAGGTAGGCAATGTCGACGTGCTACTACGTAATAATATACATAGGTGTGTATGTTATGTGGTATGTGTATGTGTGTGAGTGTGAGTCCTGTCACTTGCATTTACGTCACCCCGGCGTGGCTCCTGAAGAGAAATAGAGCGCGACTTGACGACGAGACTCGTCTCCGAAGACGAAGGAGTTCTTCTCTTTTTTTTTCTGACGCGTCGGGGCGAAGAAACCGTCGTAAAAAACTTCTGAACGTTCGGTGGTTTTCGCCGATCGCGAAGGCGGCGACGGGACTCTTTGTTATCTCTTTTTAGTCGAATTTCCCCTATGCTAAGGATAGCAGCCGATTTCGCCGATTTTCCTCCCGCGAATACGAAATCACGTTTGTTGTTCATTATTCGATTCGTATGCGATTCACCTTCACGCGCGATGACCTGCTCTCTTTCCGTTTAGATCGCCGGCGACTGTTTGCGCGTTGCGATCTTCCCGCGAGTAGTTTGACAACTCATCTGTCGAGTCGGGACGTTCGCTTGAACGAGCGTCCACGAGGAAAGTCGGCGGAATCCGCCGTGGGCCCGTCTCACGACGATTAGCTATGAGCTGTTAGTACGTGGCTATTTTGTGGAGTACAAAACACGTTATGCCAACGATGTCTACAATGAAAGTAATATTCCGAAGAAAAATGAAATATTTCAAAAGAAAAATAAAAATAAAAAAACGTGCGATTTGGAGGGACAGTCGAGCATGTGTTTGTGCTTTTCCTCGGACGGGGGAGGGGAGGGGGCAGACGTTTCAAACGGGAGGTTGAGTGAAATTCTTTCTTCAAAAAGGCAATTCTCTCAGCCGACGCGCGATATAAAATAAGATAATGTTTATTATTTCACGGAATACAGATAATATATGCCTTTCCAATGTGCCACTGAGACGATACTCCTTATTACACGCGCTTTGCCAGGAACATATAAACGGTTTCGCTTCCGTTCACCTCCACAGCGGACGACGATCAGCCGTCGATCGTCATCCGGGGACCGGCTCGATTCGCGCCACGAGCCGGCAGTGAGCGAATTTATTGCTGCTGATTAAACACAGACCGAACCTGGGAATATTCCTTGTATCCTAGCAATCATTCTTTCTTCCTCCCCGCGTGTTTACGAGACGTCGCACGACACGCGGCACTACTTCTTCAGCCTGTCATTATCGCCATCCCCTGCAATCTTCGCTCCGCGAACTCCTTTCTCTCTCTCTCTCTCTCTCTCTCTCTCTCTCTTTCTCTCTTAGTGAATTATAAGTGATTCGGAAGTCGCGAAACGTGTATGAGGCATAGAAAACAACTGCGCCGCGACACGGGGTGAGATTGCACCGGCGGAGGGCAAACTTGGCGCTCCTGGGAATGTGAGATCCACATCGCGTATCATCGATTCAGTCGATATTAATTGCAGTTTACTCGCGATTAAATGATATCTCTCGACTGGCCATGTATCATTCGTTCAAACCTATCTATCTAAAGTAAAAATACAAGATTGAAATTTAGCGATTGCTATTTCGAGCAATCCGCGGGGAGATTTGTCTTCTTTGCAAGACAATTCGAGTTTTCCCTCTTCTCTCTTTTAAGAGTTATTGCTGCAAACGCGATCTCATCCGCACGTCGCGTTACGCTACACAGATCGCGATGTAAACAGATATGCTTCCGAGTCGAAAAAGAGAAAGAGAGAGAGGCAAACCAGGAGACCAAGTTCCACGTATTTTTTCCGCCAAACAATGTCAAATATCATATTGATATGTTGCCCTTCGCATCCTAAATCGATCGCTCTCGTCTACACAGCACACCTGTGTGTAACATTAAACGAGATAACACTTAATAATCTCCCTTAACTTTAGCGCGACTACTAGGTTCCGCTTAGTCTAGGATCCGTAAGAAAACGCAGGCTAATACGTTTCACGTGCGATCAGCGGACAAACGCGCTCATCTCTCTGGCTCAACATACTCGGGGAGGATTGCTGAACGTCTTAATCGCGGACGTATTATTCCACCCAATGTGCCCGACGGGAACGGACCCCGTCGTGTCGAATCACCGGAAATCTATCTTCCCCGTAGCCAGTCCGCTCGCTTGAGAGACGATTGTACCCCGTCGCCGTGAGCGCGCGAGTCTCCGTCTCTTTAGACGGAGTATCATCGTCATAAAAAATCCTACCCGCGCGAGTGTTGAATTGTGATTCTTAGGGTCGCTTTTGGCGCGGCGGCGCTCGTTAGAATATCATCGCTAAATAGTTCGTCCTACGTCTTAGTCTCTCTCGACCTCGACGACTACGTCCAATCGCGAGACGACTGGGGATTAATTATGCTCCGCGTCGAGGATTGATTACTCCGCGCCGGAGATTACGTGTCGCGTGTGCGCGGTTTCGAACAATTCGGTAATATAAAATGGCAAGAGTCGTTCGTTTCGAAAAATCGATAGCACGCTCTCTCACACGCAAGGCGCATACCACGAGCTACATACACGATGGATAAGTGGAGAGAAAGAGATGCGTGTATGTGTGTATATACATATTATAATATCGGGTGCTTGCGCGAGGTATTCCCTCGCGACGCGCGCACGATTCACGATTTATACTTCGTGTAGCTTGGTTTGAAAGACATCAGGTACATTTCGACGTTCCGTTTACACGTCAAACGGCGACTCATTCGAGTGATACAAAAGAAACGGGGTACGCTCGAGACTAGAATATGACATTATGTGGATGTGTGCGGGTCCGTGTGTGTGTGTGTGTGTGTGTGTGTGTGTGTCGCGTGTGTCATTTTCCTGCTATTCAGTCGTGTGCATCGATCGCACCGTGTGTAGCGGGAAAGCTTTTGTGTGTGCATGTGTGTGTGTGTATATGCGTGTGACTGTGTACGTGTATATATTATATATGTATATATGTATATATAGTGTCTGTATACACAGCCGTTCCATCCAGCTTTGAGAAGAGCTATCCCTCATTAATCGCGACTTAGACGCGCCTGGAGAGCTTTAAAGTGCCGTCCACGGTGGTGTGCGTTCATCGATCGTCGCCGTCCTCGCTCCAAATTCGCAAGAGAACTCGCCTCCTCCCGAGTCGATCGCTAAATAACGCGCTACTGCGCGATATCCGCCGAAGACACATGCGCTCCGTGCTCGCACGAGTGTAGCGCTGGATGATTCTCACGTCGCGATTGCGTTAATAAGACGCAACGCTCGATATATACGAAGGAAGACATCTTGAAGAAGAAGAACACACGTTTCGACGGCTCCTCTCGTCGTCGATCGCGCTTACCATCCAGCACTACCTACGTTGCAGAGTCGCCTCTTCAGGTGATCTGATTTACAGCTACAACGCGACTCTTCGTGAGCAGCTTCTTTCTTCAGACTCGCGAGTGGACTCTCTCTCTCGAGACGGGAGCGGCAGTCTTCACGAGAGCGTGAATATGCTGGCAATGGCGGCGCGATCGCGCTCCTTCGCCTCGACGGAGCTCTCGTTAGCGCTTCTGCGACGCTCGTCTGTGACGAAGAGCAGCGGCTGCGGCGGGTTCTCGTCGTCAGGCAGACCGATGTCGGTGCGGCAAGCGAAAGCGACGCTGTTCGCCCTGCGCCGAGTCTTGATCTTCATCGCCGTCGAAGACCCGCTGCTTGATCTTGACCGGCGCTCCTGATCCTGCTGTTGCTGCGGCTTCTGCTTCTGCTTCTGCTGCTGCTGCTGCTGCTGCTGCGACAGGCCGCTGCTCCTCCGACGGCTTCTTCTCTTTATCAACCTCAAGCCGGATGGAACGGCTCGCTCTCAGTCGGTTCGATGCCTTGTTTCCGTCGTTGCGGTCGTCTCGACGCTGGAACACCGCTCGCTAGCGGTGGAGTCGCCCGGTCATAAGGGCGCGAGCGTCTTACCGCGGCGTGCCAGACGGCTCTCTAGCCACAGATACGGCACCACCGCCAGTACCAGGGTTGCGGCGAGACCCACCACGCGATAGCGAGTGCACACGAGACCATGCAGACCGAGAGCCAGGGCGAGCCCAAGCCAGCGCCAGAAGAGCGACGTCGACAGTGGTCCCTGCCACGCGTTGGGATACAGGGCCATCACCAGCGCTGAAATAGTCGCGGAGAAGTTGCAATGATCTTATTCTCATAGGTGTCTCTTCGGATTCGTATTTAGAGTGGTGATCTCGCGAGAGATTGTCATTCTGAGACTTTATTTTGAGATTACATGAATCTTATTCTGAGAAAAAGATACTTAAAAATTTCTATTTGTGGGATTAAAGCTTTTTATGAAATGAAGTTTATTTCTGTAAGTATATAAATGTTATATCACATACAAATAAATCTTCGAGTATATTTTTTTTCAATGCGAGATTGAGAAGAGAAGTATATTAGGATTAATTTATTTTTTTAATAAAAAAATTGTTTTCCCAATTTTTTAGTAATATCTCTCGTTAAACACAGAGATATATGTTATTTTCCTTTCCTTCTTTTCCTATGTCTCACGATATAAAGTGAATGAAAAGATACTTACTGTATATCAGAGTCTCCCAGATGGAGTTACAAACTCCCCAGGCAGCTGATATGACATGAAAGAGTGCCGGGTCGTCTCCCGTAGGTCTCCAAGTGAGCAAGACGAGCAGAAGACAGGCGTGAAAGGCACAGCCCACGACTGAAACGGAGAACGAACTCAGTCGTGATCGACCGACGATCAATTAAAAGGGTCGAACCAGCATCACTTTTATGCTTTGTATATTCCCATATACCAGTTAATTCGATCTTTCTCGTGATATATTGAATGGCTTCAATATTCTCTTCATCGCGACATTACATTTCGCGAACGTTGAGAGATTGTCCTCGCGAATTTACACCTGAACCCGCCCCCCCCCCCCCCCCC